GGGGGGGGGGGGGGGGCGAGGGGGGTTCGGGCGGCGCCTCTGCGCGGAAGCCGTCGCCCTCAAAGAGAGAGGAGCACCAGCCGAGCCCATCGAGCCGCGTCGCCTGTTCACGCGAAGAAGGTGTGAAGGGAGGCTGCTCACAGCCAGCGGGCAAGAGCTGCGTCGCCTGCGACGCGAGCTCGCCGGCGACAGCACCGACGGACGCCTCAGGCGCAACCTCGAGCTGCACGCCGCACCAGCCGAGGGCCAGCGCGCCAAGGGCGCCGCCGCCGCCATGGGACGCTGCGGCTGCCGCCGCCGCTGGCACCGACGTCGCCGGCAACGTCGGTGCCGTCAACGCTGTCACTGCCTGCGGCCCCGGCAGAAGAAGTGCCCCCGAAGCCGCGGGCCCCAGAAGCGAGAGCGAGCCGCTGCCGCCGCCGCCTCCGGGCGCCGCCGCCGCGCACATGGCGAGGAGCTTCTCGGTGGCCTTGCGGTGACGCGCCGCGGCGTCGGGCGTGCGGGAGACGGCCTCGCAAGCGAGCTGCTCGGCCTGCGGGGACACGCAAGGCACGTGTCGTGGACGTGTCGTGGACGTGTCGTGGACGTGTCGTGGACAACTCAGCAAGCGAGCTGCTCGGGCCTGCATCGCGGCGAGCGTGCCGAGGACAGCCAGGGAGAGCGCGCGGCCTAACAGGTCGGCGACGTCTCCACCTCAAGGACGAGGCCGAGCCGGGGGCGGGGGGGAAGGGGGGAGGGGGGGAGGGGGGGAGGGGGGAGGTCGCCGCACCGCTGCTCGCCGCCGGCCGGCCGCCGCAAGCCTCGGCATCCTCGGCGTCGGCGGCGGCGGGCGGAGTCGGCCCGGCGCGAGCCGCCTCGGAGGCGACGACGCCGAGCTGCTGCTCGAGGAGCGACGCGTCCTCGGCGGGCGCAAGCGTCAGCCGCGCCTGCAGCTGCAGCAGCGGCGCCGCCTGGACGAGGCAGAGCAGCTCGAGCAGCTCGCACCTGGCGGGAGGGCAAGGGGGCGAGGCTCGGGGCCAGGCTCGCCGCACGAGGCAGAGCCGCTCTAGGAGGGGTCTAGGAGGGGTCTGGGTAGGGTTCTGCGAGGGGTCTGGGAGGGGTCTGGGAGGGGTCTGGGTAGGGTTCTGCGAGGGGTCTGGGAGGGGTCTGGGAGGGGTCTGGGAGGGGTCTGGGAGGGGTCTGGGAGGTGTCGAGGAGGTGTGTCGAGGAGGAGCAGCTCGCGCCTCTCGTCCTGCTCATGACGCGCGGTCGCCGCGCCGACGCGGCGGAGCCACTCGAGCCGCGCCACCCGCAGTCGCTCCTTGTCGCCCTCGCCGCCCTCCTTGCCCTCCCCGCGCAGCCGGCGCGGCAGGCGGGACGCGGCCGACGCCTCTCCGCCTGGGAAGGCGCCTGCGGCGGCGAGCGTGCAGAGGCGCGACGGGAGGCCTTCGCCGCAGAGGAGGGAGACGCGGCCGGAGGCGACGCGGTGGAGCGGGGAGGCGCTGTCGACGAAGGCGATCGCCAGCAGCTGCTGCACGCACCGCAGCAGCAGGCACCGCTGCTCGTGCAGGTGCTCCAGTAGCCGCAGCTCGGCTGGCAGCAGGGCGAGAGGGTCGGAGGCGGCGGCGGGGTCGTCGGCCGCGCGGCGGAGGGCCTGCGCCGCGTTGTGTGACTCGCGCCTGCGAGAAGTGGCGGCGGGCGGGGGCGAAGTGAGCCGGAGGTGGCGGTGGTGTGCAGCCGTGGAGAGGGCCGTGGCGAGGAGGGTCTCGGCTGGCGGGCGCACTCAAAGTCGACGAGGAGCTGCGCGGTGGCGTCGGTGCCCAGGAGCAACAGCTCCGCCGCCGCGCGCTCATATGCGGACGTCGACGGCGAAGGCGCGCTCGATGGCGCCGGGAAGGCGGGCGGCTGCGGAACACCTCCAGGCGTGTGCGCCGACGGCGAGCGCTCGAGCGTGCGCAGCAAGTCGCCGTGGAGCGTGTCGAGCAGCGTCTCAACCTCGTCGACCCCGACGTCGCCCTTGAGCGCGTGATGCAGCCGCTGAAAGCGCAGGGGGGTGGCGGAGGCGGGCGCCATGTCTCGCCAGTGGGTGTGCTGCTCAAAGGAAAAAGAATTTCAAGCCGCCGTTTTTCTTTTCCTGTCTTGCGAATTTTTCTTTTCCTGACGCGGTCCCCGGCGATAGCCGCGCAACATACCCACCCAGCTCCGTGGCGCGTCAACGCCATGGCCAGCCCGGCAGACGTGTCCAGCGACTTGTCGGTCCCCTTTTCATTGCTTGCCGGGACCGTGCGCAACGCGACTGAGGCCGCGACGCTCGCGCACCTCGACCTCCTCGCAATCCAGGCCGAGGCAATCGACGAGCACATCGCCGCCACGGCGCGATATACCTCGGCGCTTACGTCCGCGGTCGAGGACGCGAGGGCAGCCGCGTCAAAGCGGGAGCGGCCGGGCGCGGAGGACGGCAGCGTCGGCCTTGCGCTGCTGCTCGCCGCGGCTGACCCGCTGCTGCGAGCCGAGGACCTGCTGCGAGCGCGTGCCGCAGCGGTGTCGTCGAGGCTATGCGAGGTTGGCGCGCGGCTGCGGCAGAATGCAGAGGCGCACCGCGCCACCGTGGCCGAGCTTCAGGAGGAGGCGGGCTGCGGCGCGCTCCTCGCAAAGAAGCGCAGGAGAGCGCACCTGTGCCGCCGCGGCGCCCTGCCGCAGCTCCCTCTGACGCGCGACCCGTGCCCGCCCCCAGGCTCTGGCTCGTCGAGGAGTCGCTCTGCTACCGCATCCAGCAGCGCGTGCGTGCGCCCCCTCCAACTCCGGCCGCCGCCGGCGGTCGAGGAGGAGGAGACGGGGAGGACGTGTCGGCGTGCGGCCCAGGCCCGAGGCCAGTGTCCATGAGTGGCTTATAAGTGTGTGCGCCCGTGATGACACATCGTTTTGTACTCTCTCTAATCACCTTAGCCTTCCCAAACCCGCTGAGATTAACGTGACAAGGTCTCTCAGCAATCTGAGCGGCCCCCGTGTGAGCATCCGCTGCACGAGGATCACGACGCCAATGAAAAGCACGCCCGAGACGATGTTCGCGTCCCCAATCCCGCCTCCACGCGGTCCGCCAAAAAAGGGGCACTTTGATGTGTCGCCTGTGCCGTCGTCCAAGAGTCGCGGCGGCAGTGCACGCGTCGCCGACACGCGCTGACACCTCGCCCATGCCGCATGATGCTGCGCCAGCGACGACGCGGGCTGGGATAGAACGTGCTTCAACTTCATCGACGGCGATTGGGAAGCACACGTGCTCTCAGGGCACCGGCCTTAGGCTACCTGGGAGCCAGCTCGGCTACAAAAAGAATTTGGGTCTGCAGAATTCTCGCCAATCCCTCCTTAAAATCCTGCAAAGGTGGGGACGTGTCTGTCCTCGACCCAGCCCTAGCTTGGGATGTCCGTTGTATTTATTTATTTATTTATTTATCCCTCCTTAAAATCCCTGTGTGGTGGCGGCGTGCCGTCCTCCCATCCCTCCCTTGGGTTGTCTGTTTTCTAATTTCTAAAAACCCATCCCTCCCTCGAAGGTCTGTTTTCTTTCTTTCTTTTACCCACCGACAAATCCCTTGGGTTGTCCGTTTTCTTTCTTTCTTTCTTTTACCCACCGACAAATGGAGGGTGAGCGGACTCTGTGCGATTTCGGGCCCGGGGTTGTGCGTTTACGTGAGCCACGCTGAACGTGCTGAACGTAGAGCCGAACGGGAGGGAGGAAGCCGGGGAAGACGACTCAGAGGAGGATGAACCAGTGGAAATCCCGCCGTCAGCTGTCACGATGCACCCGAAGGGGACCCCAGCGCCAACATCATCGGTGGAGGTACAAGTGTCCGAAGAGAGAGTGCCGACCTGAGCAACGACATGACTTGGCGGCAAATGATCGCAGTGGGCGTCAGAAGAGTCGTCCTTGCGCGAGGAGAGCTCGATAAACTCGAGGGGCCAGGATATGCCGCGAGGAGGGCAGAGTTGCGCCGAAAGGCGGGAGAAGCCGCGAGAGCGCAAGGGATCGGCAGGCGGCGGCGGCGTCGCAGGATGAGGCAGACGAGAGCGACGCGACAGAGGAGGAAGCGACAGGAGGGAGAACGACGAGAGTGGGACGACCGCGAGGTGGCATGAAGGTTGCAGCGAGAATCGGCGAGGGACTGCGAAGGGAGATAGAAAGAGGCAGACGACCAAGGGTTAGGGTGGGCGACGGCTAGCACCACACTCCTCTCCTTAAAACCCCTGTGTGGTGGCGGCGTGCCCTCCTCCCATCCCTCCCTTGGGTGTCTGTTTTCTTTCTTTCTACCCACCGACAACATCATCGGTGGAGGTACAAGTGTTCGAAGAGAGAGTGGACCTGAGCAACGATATGACTTGGCGGCAAATGATCGGAGTGGGCGTCAGAAGAGTCGTCCTTGCGCGAGGAGAGGTGGAGAGCTCGATAAACTCGAGGGGCCAAAATATGCCGCGAGGAGGGCAGAGTTGCGCCGAAAGGCGGGAGAAGCCGCGAGAGCAAGGGATCGGCAGGCGGCGGCGGCGTCGCAGGACGAGGCAGACGAGAGCGACGCGACAGAGGAGGAAGCATCTGCGCCTTCTCAGCGGTGGAGGGGATGTGGGCGGTACGTGCGGACCGCATGGTACTGCGATGGTTTGACGAGTGCGACTCCCAGCGTCGACTTTTTCGACCCCACGGAGCCCGCTCGTCTGCTGCTTGGGGGGGGGGGGGGTCTGCAGACCACCCGGCCAAACTTCAGAGTGGCGGTGCTCCTCAAATACCGCTCAAACGCCCACGATGTTGTGGAGGGGACATATGCTGATGATCCTGGCCCGATTGGTTCGCTCAGAAAGCTTCTGGGCGGCCGTTAAGGTTCGCTCCCCGCACACCGGCCCCGGAGTTTGGGTACCCTAGAAGAAGGCGGACGCCGACGAGGCGGGGGAGGAGGAGGAGGAGGAGAGCCAGGCCGAAATCGGCAAGGACTGGACCGAGTACGTGGACGGCAATGGGCGCCCCTACTATTACAACTCGGTCGACAAGCAGACGACGTGGACGCGGCCGCCGCCACCGCCGCCGCCTCCGCCGCCGCCTCCGCCGCCGCCTCCGCCGCCGCCTCCGCCGCCGCCACCACCACCCGGGCCGCCACCGCCGAGGGATGCGCCGCAGGGGCAGCGCCGCAAGAGGGCCAAGCCGGCACCGGCGGCGCCGCTCTATCGCACTCGCGATGCAGAGACGGCCCCCTCCGTGTTTGCACAGCCGGGCGGGAGCATGTTCTCCCCAACCTTTGCGCAGGATTTGATGCTGGCCGAGCTCAACGCTTCGCGCGCACGCGAGCAGAGTGAGCGGGAGAGTCAGGCCAGGTTCTTGGGCTTCATGGGCGTCCCCAAGTGATTAGCTCATAGCACTGTTGGCATGACCACACGCATAGTGGGTGGGTGCGAGCCAGGTGCGAGCGGCATGGTGGGCTCCGGAATGGGTACCGTGCGGGTGCGGACGGAAGAGAGAGTGCATGTACGAGAGCTAGCATGCGCATGCTCCGCAGGGGCAGGTGAGTACTGGTCAAAACAACCATTTGCACACTTGTTTGCAACAAAATGCGCTGCAAATGCGACATTTTATGGATCTGGAGTGACACTATGGATTTCGGGTGACACAGGTTGCCACCACCACCTTCACCGCCGTCGTTGTCGGCATCGTCGCCGCCACCGCCATCTCGAGCGCCGCCACCGCCATCTCCATCGCCGCCTTCGACGTCGGCATCGTCCTTGGCCGTCACCGTCAAGGTAACCATGGGAGTCGTCATCGGAGTCATCGTCGGCCTCGTCGCAGCGATTCTCAGCATAATCTGCATGGTGCGCCGCCGCCCTAGCCGCCGCCATGGGCTTCCGCCGCTAAACTGGTCTGTCCAAGCGTGACGACACATGTGGAAGCCAAGCCATCCTTCACGGTGAGCCGCGAGTTCCAGAGGGCGGAGGCGATGGCGCACGTGCAGCAGGCGCGCGTCCAAACGCACGAGCGCGCCATACGTGACAGCGGTGGCTCTTTGTCGCCAGGGGAGCTAGGCGGAGGAGACGGGGATACGCATGACGAGAGTCCCGTCGGTGCCGCTCGCCAGTGGCTCTCGGGCAGCTCAGGGCACTAGAGCACGACTCCGAGCAGTTCGGCATGTCCGGCGGTGAGATCTCGACGGCGCTCACCGGCGAGCGTGTCGGGCGGGCGCGTGAGCTCGCATGCTAGAGCCAGCACGTACACGTATGGGCTCGTAGACTTGGCAACCCGAGTAAGGCGTGAGATCTCTTTTGCACCTGTGTCGAGCCTGTGTGCTGTGAGAGAGAGTTGTCTTGTTTAAACTCTTTTGCCCCACCACTCTGGTGTGTTTGATTGAATGAAGATCGTGAGGGGGGGGACACATGCTTATTCCATGCATCTCGTCTCGTCTCGGCGTTTGATTTTGTTTATTTCCATCCTCTAAACAACAAAAACACCAAATCTCAAGAAAGAAAGTCTCCATCCTCCAACTCTCTCTTCCCCTTCTTGATCTTTTGCAGTGGAGAGAGAGATTTTTAGCAATACCAAACAACTCTAACACTCACACGTTTTGTTTGCAGTGGTGCTACTAGATACGCGAATAGGAAAGAAAGAGAAGGATGGAGGGGAGGCGTAGAGAAACGCGTAGGGTATCGAAACGACACACAAGTGTTAGAGTTGTTTGGTATTGCTAAAAATCTCCTCGAAACGATGCACGTTAACAATCATGGAGAATAAGCCACGGACCGGAGCTCCCGCCAAGGAGCAGGCGAGCGCGCTCTCAGGGCGTGGACAGCTCGGCGGACGCGTCCCTCCTTCACCTCCTCAAGTCACGCAAAGGACCTGCTCCTCGCCGCCCTCTCTCCCTACCAGCCAGCCAAGCCCAGCCCGATGCTCGCGCTCGCCATCACCTCCGGCCCCGCGGCGCCCGTCCCCACGGCGTCGGGCGGCGACCCGCTCACCACCGACGCCGGCTTCCTCGGCGGCGCCGTCACCTCGCCGCCCGACGAGCAGCGCGGCCCCGCCTCGTGGACGCAGTTCGCCGGGATGGGCCTCCTCACGGGGGCAAAGTACACTGCGGCGGGCGTCGAGACGGGGCTCGACTGGATCACGGGCGGCGCCTTCCAGGCGAGCTCCGACTCCGCCTCCAACACCGGCAACCGCTTCTCCGACCTGAACAAGGACACGTCCTCCGACTTTGGCAACCTGGTGGCCGGCGGGTCGATGGGCCGCCGCAAGCTGGGGGCGAGCCCGGAGACGGCCGCCGCGGCGGCGCCGGCGGAGAAGGGCGGCTGGATGCCCTTCGCGCAGCAGGGCGCCGCCACCGGCGCCGGCTTCGCCTCCCAGGGCGCCGACACTGCCTTCCGCTTCTTCACCGACCCGGACTTCGACTTCCAGAAGGAGGGCGAGGCGTACCAGGCGTCCGGCGCGGCGACGGGCGACGCGTTCGGCACCCTATCCGAGGGCATGGCCGGCGCCGCGGCGGCGACGCCGCCCGAGGAGAAGCGGGGCGGCGGCGCGCTCCTCGACGGCGCGCTCCTCATGACTGGCCACGACGACCTGCTCGGCATGGAGCTGGCGGAGCAGGGCCACCCGATGCTGGGCCTCGCGGCGATGGAGATGGGCGAGCACCGCGAGGAGCAGCGCCGCGAGGACGAGTACCGCCGCGACGACCGGTACGAGTACGGCGAGTACGGCCGCGGCGAGCACGGCCGCCACGGCGGCGGCCGCTGGCTGCAGGCGGCGGAGGGCGCGGAGGCGGTCGAGGCGGTCCCGCCGCCGGCCGCCGCGGCGGCGCCGGCGGAGAAGGGCGGCTGGATGCCCTTCGCGCAGAAGGGCGCCACCACCGGCGCCGGCTTCGCCTCCCAGGGCGCCGACACTGCCTTCCGCTTCTTCACCGACCCGGACTTCGACTTCCAGAAGGAGGGCGAGGCGTACCAGGCGTCCGGCGCGGCGACGGGCGACGCGTTCGGCACCCTGTCCGAGGGCATGACCGGCGCCGCGGCGGCGACCCCGCCCGAGGAGAAGAGGTTCCGCCCCCTGCTCGACGGCGCGCTCCTGGCGACCGGCCACGACAAGCTGGCGGGCGTCGCCCTCGCCTCGCAGGGCCACCCGGTGCTGGGCCTGGCGGCGATCGAGCACGGCGAGCGGCGCGAGGAGCAGCGGCGCGAGGAGGAGCGGTACGGGCGCTACGAAGAGCCGGGCCGCCACCACCACATGCTGATGGGCCGCTGAGCAGCGGGGCGCGGGCGAGCGGTGGTCTCTGTCCTCGGTCCGACGTGCGCACCGCCGAACGTCTAGATACGTGTTGAGATTCGAAGTCCCGCTCGGACAAGAGTCCAAAGAGTCGAAGATAGTCGCTCGTCGGAGCCTCCGAGTCTCGTGTCTCTCTCGACCCCGTCCCCCCCCACTCGAGTGTGTGCATTTTGTCCATTGACGACGCGCGGCCGCACACGTTTTGGTCGTTGCGTGGGTCGCTCTCTCAGTGTCACACACGTCTCTCGCGAGGATATGAGAGGAGTCACTCTCCTCTCCTCTCACACTACTGAGCTGACCGAGCTTTGTTTATAGCCATAGATAACCGACTACGAATGGCTCACTCCCCGGATCTCCCATCTGCGACACTCCTTCTGAGACGCTCTAATCCTCTCCGGCTCTCGCGCTGCACACCGGCGGCTCTGCGGCGGGGTGAAAGAGCAGACAAGTGAGGTTGATTCATCCCCGTGCGTGCGTGCACCGCCGAGCGCCGAAGCGGTTAGAGTGCTCGCATGAACATCTGGGTCTCTGCGTAGCAGGGGCACGCCACCAGACCCCTGTCATCATTGTCCGTGGGCCTCCTCCAAGGGCCTCCTGGGACCCTTTTGAGGCGTGTCTGCGCCCGCCCCCTGCAGCGCCTTTAGCCGCTCCGTGACCAAGCCTTTTTTCGCGTGGCCCGAGAGTGATGACCTTCGGGCAGTACGCGCAGACCGCGCCCGCTCGCCGTCCGCCCGCACAAGCAGCAGCCTCTCCTCCTCAGCAAACGACGGCGAGCGGGCATACGGCTTTAGCGATCGCTGCCACGCCACGTACTCCTGCCGCTGCCGCTGTCGAAGGCGGGTGGCGAACGCAAGCTGGCCGGGGGCGGTCGGTACGAAGCATACCGGACAGATGCACACGGTTTTCCGCGGACGGTGCTCCAACTCAGCCGCACCGCAGCGCTCGTCAGCGGAGGTCCAACGCCTTGGAGGCTGGTGCGAAGAGACGTTATTGGGGCGCGTCGACCTCACACCCTGCGAAATGGGCGGCGATTGCCACGCGCCAGAACGTCGCCGCGCAGGGCTGCCCATGACGGCTTGAAGCAGCTTGAGGGAAAAGAGAATTCTAGTCTCGCGCCCCTTGTATAACCCGAAGCGCGGACTAACCCCCGTGCTTTGGCCCTTCCCTGCAACGCGCACCCCCCAGGCGCTCTCTTGCCCGCAACCCGATCCCAATCATCCGGCCCGCTGGGTGCGCTTCTTAGCTCCCCGCACCCCGGCTCTGGATGATGTGCGGCTGATGACTGCACAGACTGCACTCCAAGTGCTCCAAGTGTTCCGGTGTGGCCACACACAAAAACACAACCCCGGACCACCCAAGACGCACAAGCACAGACAGTCGAGAAACAGCAACGACAGTCAGAACTTCGGCTTTCACGTACAAGCTCTGGTAAAGAGCCATACCCGCAACCCGGGCGAGAGATGATTTGCAACTCAAAATGCCCTCAGCATCTCAAATTGCGGGTTCCCCGCCCCTGACGTTTAACTTTCAGTATCTCAAAAAACGGGCAGCTCCAGCTGCGCTGCGAGTGGCCCCGTGTGCTGACTCCCTCCCGCCAAGCTCGCCCCACGACCACTATTTCGGCACGAGTGCGCATTTGCTGTACACTTTGCGGATGCTGCCGCCCGCTCGGCTGCACAGGTCTTCGAGGCTGGTCACTTCGAACGGCAGCAGCTTCTGCTGGCAGGCGTCGTCGCACGGGCGCGGGTCGAAGTGGCTGCCGTGCGTGATGTTGCGGAAAACCTCCGTGATAATCTGCTCATTTGCAATGTGGTGGGCGACGACGGTCTGGACGGTGATTGGCCGCCAGATCTGGTCCTTGCGAGTGCACTTGAAGCACAGGTCGTGCAGCTTGTCCCAGCCCCAGTGCAGCGGCATCAGCGGCCAAGGCGATAGGTAGAGGAACATGCCTATCACCATGTCCTCGCCCTGCGTCATCATCGGCGGTCGCGTCGCGGCAGTCGCTCGTTGCTCAAAGTCGAGGAAGGCGTCCTGCTGCACCATCCATGCAGCGACGCCGTAAGAGAGCACCTGCAGCACCGGGAGCGACGGGCCAGCAGTCAGCACCGCGTGCCGGGCAGATGCACTCAGCCCGCCGTGAGCGGGTGTGGCTGAGCCCTCGCCTGAAGCATACCCACCGCGTACGGGTACGGCCCGATTGCGCCCTTTTGGACGCAGTTTTCCTCCTTCATCCCGCCGGCGCACATATTCGGCCCCATCCGCCGCGCGCAAGGCTCGAATGTCTTTGTGACGAACGAGCCCCAGAGCGTCGAGCCAATGTATACGCGCGGCGTCTGTGTGAAAGGGCGGATGTTTGCCTCGAGCTTGATGGTCTGCACAAACGCGTCGTCGTCGGTCTTGGCGATGAAGGTGGCGCCCGAGTAGGTGTGCACGGCGTGGCGGAACCACGCCATCGTCTTGAGGCAGGGCGATTTTCGCTCCGGCACATCGTCGAGCAGCAGCAAGTCTGAAGCGTGCGGTGGGGGAGGGGAGGGGTGAGTGATGGTGGCGCGATCGCCCCTCAGCCTGGACCGATGGCGGTGATAGAGGCAGGTGCGTATCACAGGCGCATGCCGGCGGCACAGCCAGTGCCGACCAGCCGTTCACTCGCAGCTCTCGACAAGGCGCACCTCCGTGCTCGGCCGCCTCGGCGCGCAGCTTCTGTTCCACCTCGCCCGGGATGGGAGAGAGGTCGCTCTGGAGCATGCCGACGATGAAGACAACATGCATCGTGCGGCCCACGTTCGAGTATGTCTTCCACGTCTGGCGGATCCACCTCCGCCGCGCAAAGCTGTCCGCCCACATCACGTTCGAGACGATGCCCAAGGCTATAAACGGAGGCTCGCCTACAGGTGGGTCGTGATCGGGGCTTGTTGAACGCGCGGCGGGCGGCTGGCATCGCCACCTCTAAGAGGAGGCGCCTCCAGTCCAAGGCACTGGTCCAGTGCTCGCATAGCTCGTTCGCTTTGCAGCCGCGGCGGCGGAGACGTTGCCTCCGATGGCGGTAACGGCAGTCGCCCAGCGCTGTATCGGCGCGCTAGATGTGTGGCCGCCGGCATGGATCATGTCCGGGGCCGTGCTGAGTGCGGCCGGCCTTGCGGAGCCTGTCCTGTGCGACGCATTGGTAGCGTATGCCAGCGAAGCCACTTGCGGCGCCGCCATGGCTTCCCGCAGGCTCGCGGACGCGTCGCGCCTGTCTGCGCCGGCCAGCACCCGAGCGCTCGGCTCCGTAGCCTGCAGGCTCAGGTAGCCGTCCTGAGGCGCCGCTGCACCTCCCTCTGAGGCGGCACCGCCAAAGAAGGGCAGCGCCTCCTTGACGATGAGGACACACCCGACCGCAAGCGTCCCGAGCATCAGCTGCATCGTGCGCATTCTGCCACACCCGTGGCGGCGGACAAGATCGGACACCCACCCAGCGCCACACGCGGCGGCTGTGTACGAGCGCACAGCGGCGCCAGCGCAGCGGAGAAGGTTGTTATTTTTCGAGTCGTGCACTCGAGGTCTGCAGGTGATCTTTTGTACTAGGCTAGGATTGAGAGCAGCCTCGCTCTCAACCCTAGAAGTCGAAGAATTAAAGCAGCACTCCTCGCAAGCGTAGCATCTCTGTGCGATTGTGAGCGCCTACGCTCGCAATCCTACATCTTCTAGGACTAAGAAAGAGCAGCTCCGCTCCCAAGATGACTGGTGACGCCTACGACTACTACCAGCGCGCTCGCAATCCGAGCAAAGTCTAGGATTGCGAGCAGCACTGCTCACAATCCTAGCAACATGCCTCCGATTGCGAGCAGGAGCGCTCGCAATCCTACATCTTGTAGGACTATGAGCGGCGGTGCTCACAATCGTACCAAAGATCCAAGGATTGCTAGCATGCGCACAGGGGGCGCTCCCAATCGCTCCAGCCGCGAGCGCTTGTGAGTGAGCGCGCCGGCCGGGGGAGGTCTCCTCACAATCCAACAGTGCTCGCACCGATTGCGAGGGGACCCGCTCGCAATCCTAGAGAAGTCGTAGGACTGTGGGCGGTGTCGCTCGCAATCGGCGAAAGTTCTAGGATTGCGAGCGCTCCTGCTCGCAATCGGAGGCTTGTCGCTAGGATTGTGAGCAGTGCTGCTCGCAATCCTAGACTTTGCTCGGATTGCGAGCGCGCTGGTAGTAGTCGTAGCACGTAGCTCGTAGGCGTCACCAGTCATCTTGGGAGCGGAGCTGCTCTTAGTCCTAGAAGATGTAGGATTGCGAGCGTGGGCGCTCACAATCGCACAGAGATGCTACGATTGCGAGGAGTGCTGCTCACAATCCTTCGACTTCTAGGGTTGAGAGCGAGGCTGCTCTCAATCCTAGCCTGGTAGAAAAGAAGGTTCACCAGGTCTGCACGGGTAAATAACAGCAGACCGTTCCGCGCCGCGTGACCACCAACGAGTCACTCTGCTGCGATGGCGACAAGGGTTATGGATTAAGCTAGCAAGCAAGCACGCTGATCGTGACTCGGCACCACTATAGGCAAGGGGGGCGGGTTTGGGCAAGGGCCCGCCGGCAAACCTCGGCTGTCGCAGTCGCACCCTCATCAATGCTCGCCAAGTTTACCCTTCTCGCCACGCTCGCCACGGCCTCCGCGCTCAAGGTCTCAAAGACCAGCGTCCCCAAGCCTGTCCTCAAGCTCCGCGGCGGCGAGATCGACATCCCGACGGTCAATCTCGTGGTGCGAACCGGCCCACCGCTCACATAACCCACGCCGCCGTCTACCATCGTCCACCACGCCGCCTCTGCCCCACAGAACGCGCTTTACTATGGCGGGTACGGCGTCCCCCTCCTTGTTAATCACGACAAGTTCTTTGGCCCGGACGGCATCATCTCGTACACAAAGAAGAACATCGGCGACGAGTCGGCGATCGGCCTCTTCTTCTCCCGCTTCACCGGCGTCATGTTCTGCGCCCTCTCGGCTGGCTACCTCATCGACAAGGAGTCGACCATGCTGGCCAAGCAGTTCGGTCTGGGCAGCCTCGGCTTCGTCCCTCTCCTGTTTATGAACTCGCAGGACGACACCAACTACAAGGCCAAGATGTGGAAGATGCAGCACCTGATCCACCTGCCGCTTACTGCCCTGACGCTGCTCAAGGCCTTCAAGAAGGAGTGACGCCGCCGGACCTCGCTTCGACGCGCAGGGCGCGCGAGGCTGGGCCTCCGCTGTCGGGGAGGCAGCCACATACACCGAGCATCCGCGAGCGAACAGATGCGCCACATGCATGCACATACACATGTGTAGCATGTGCATGTGAATATGTGTATTGAATAATTCATGTGAATCAGACTGTATAGTGTATTACTAGTAGCTCGGTACGGTGCTCGGTGGGTGCATTGAGCGTTCGGTGTCCGCAGCTCCAGCTGAGAGCGAGTGAGGCTTGTCACTGACACTGTTCAGCGCTGCGCGCCTCTCTCGGGCCCTCTCTACCGGTCTCTATATACCATATTATATAGCGTATAATGTAGGTAATAGCACGAGCCACTGAGAGACACGCTCACACTTTGTGTATACAACGATCTCAGATCGCCGCTCGGAGTCCATTATCCCTCTGCGCGGGCACCTTTTTCCGCCGCTTCTTGGGCGGCGCCGACGCGCCTCCGCCTCCCTCACCACACTGCCCACGTTGATGCCGAGCTTTCGCGTGGTCGAGGTGCTTACGCCGCCGATGGCTCGGCTTGGCGCTCCTCTGGTGCGAAGCGGCCGGCGGCGGGCCCCCACCGCCCTTGAGGCGGCCGCAGCGGAAACACTCGGGCGTCCAGCACCTAAAAGGACAGGGCGGCTCGTGAATACGACGCAGCGGGACGCGTCTTCTCGAGCGCAGGTAGAAGGCTAGGATTCTGCTCTCGGCATCTAGCGTCCGGCACTGCAGGCCGCACATGCAGCTCCACGGGCCGGGCGCAGCCAGCGGCTGCGGCAGTTGTGATGGCTGCGGCGCCGCACGGATCGCGGCTGGGGAGCCGGCGGCGAGGGAGGAGGCGGCAGCGGCAGGAGCGGCGGCAGAGGCGGCGGCGGCAGAGGCGGTGGCAGAGGCGGCGGCGACAGGCGCGGTGGCGGTGGAGGGTGCGGCCAGGGCGGGCGGGGCGGAATGCGAGAGGGGGGAGGGCACGGCGGAAGCAGTGGCCGCCGCCGCCGCCACCATTGCCGCCGCCGCTGCCGCCGCCCCCGCCGCCGTCGTAGCGGCCGCGGCCGCCGCGGCCGCCGCCTTCTTCGCCGCCTTGCCAGCGCGCTTCCTCTCTCCCTTGGCCAGCCTTTCGGCGTCGCGCCGCTCGGCTGCTGCGAGGAAGATGCGGCGCGCGGCCTGCGCGGGCCGGGTCGTGGGCAGGTGGTGGACATGTCGTGGACGTGTCATGGCGCTTTGGCCCATGCCCAGGGGCGGGCACTGCTGCGGGAGAGTATTCGGCGGAGCGCAGGGGCGTGGGAAGGGGGTGGAAGAGGCGCATGCCGAGGCGAGGGGGTGGGGGGGGGGGGATGCACGGTGGAGGGGTGAGGGGGGGGGGGGGGGGGGTGCTGCAGTGGCTGGAGCTGACCGGCGGCAAGACCGCGAGCGAGTCGCACGAGCCGTCCGCCTGCACGCGCAGCAGGGTCGCGATCGTCGCGCCCCCGCCTCCGAGCCCGGCGTATGGGGCGGCCGCCTGTGGACATGTGTCTCGACATGTCATGGACGTGTCCCGGACATGTCGCGCACGGCATGCGGGGCGGCCGCCGCGGCGAGGCCTTCGCAGTGCGACACGCCGAGCAGCACCGCGGCGAGCCTGCAGCGCGAGTCGGCCGCCGGTGAGCTCCGGCCGCGAGGGTCGGTGGAGCTGGCCACAGCTAGCTAGCCGCAAATCTTCCTCTCAGCTCCTCTTGCGGCTAGCGTGTGTGTCCACCCCATCCCCGGTGTTGCCGTGCCCGTCCTTGACCGTCCCCGTCGTGTGCATACACCCAAGTGCATCACCAAGTGGCAGCCTGCCGGAAGAGCGCGTGTGCGTGTGCGTGCATCTGAGGCGGCGAGACCAGCGCGAGACCGCCGCGTCGAGCGCCGCGTACTGAATCTGCGGCGCCGAGAGCGGCACGCGCGACCAGTCCGACATCTGGATCCGCTTCGGCTTGTCGAGCTCCAGCCCTATGGGCAAGGGCGGCTGAGGCTCCCAGGCGGCTCGGGGCAGCCGTCCTTGGCGGAGCCGTCGAGGCCGAAGTGAGCGGCGAGGCGCTTGAGGCCGTAGGGGGGCGCGCAGGCATCAACCGCGCCCGTGAGCGGCGCGAGGACGGCCAGCTCCACGCACGCGCTCGCGCTCGCGCCTCCGCCGCCGCCGTCGGCGGCCGAGAAGGCTTCCGGGAACCGGCCGGCGAGCAGCTTGATGTCGTCTCCGACCCCGGCGCCAAACTTGAGGACGCTGGCCTGAGCATGTCACGCGGGCAGGGTGCAGAGCGGCTCGCGGGCCCACGGATGGGCCGGGAGGCGGCGGTGGCGGCGCACCGAAGCGACGAGCCTGCTGAGGAGAGGCGGGAGCCGCGCAGCGCGGCCGAGCGAGACGACGGCGCATGCCTGGTCGGAGCACAGCTGGATCGTGTCCACCGGGTTCGAGCCGCCGCTGCGCCGAAACGTCGGCCGCGCCTCCACGTCCAGCCCCAGCGCACGGCACGACTCAAACCCGAGGCGCGACAGCGCCTTGTCGACGTCATCGCGGCCGAGCGTGAGATAGACGGGCGAGGGCAACGCAAACGGCAGAGCCGCCCTCAGAGGCGGCGCGTCGCCCGAAGCGCCCGCTGGAGCCGCCGCCGCTTGCTCGTCGTTACCGCGCTTTCTCTTGCTCATCGATTTTGGTGTGGCACGTCGAAGGTGAACTGTGCGGTATCCTCCTGCTCGGCATTTCTCTTCTTTTTTCGGTACCTCCTCCGTCCCAAGGGGCCACCTACAAACCTACCTAGGGGTCGTCTGTTTTGTTTCTTTGTTTTCTGTTTTCTTTCCCCAAATCCTGCTCGTGCAGGCGGGGACCCTGTCCTCCTCCCATCCCTCGTTTGGTCTGTTTTCTTTCTTTCTTTCTTCTGTACGCCGCATTGCCGCGCGCTGACACGGAGCGCGCCTGCGCAAGGCCATCAGCGATCATTTGACGATCAACCTCCTCCACGTCGTCCTCGGTTTCAAAACGGTGGAAGCGAAGTGCGTGAAGGTGCTCCGGCTTGCGCTTGCCATACATGATGAGCAGCGGGGCGAGGAGCCAGCGGAGGAAGAGGCGGAACCGGCTCGGCGGGCGAGCGTTCATCAATGCCGCGGACTGGGCGATGGCCTGCCACAGCTCGGCGGAAGTGTGCGCAGGTTGGAGCAGCAGCTCCTGAGCACGGCGCTGCAGGCGCCTGTTGATAGGTCCAGGTGATAGCCCTGGGATGGGCAATGCATACAGTGGGTTGCGGGCATTAACCCTCCTACGCAGATGGTTTTGCGTGATTTTGGCCCCCCCGCCCCTAACATTATGGCCGACAGAGCGGCTGGGAGAGGCTAATGTTAGGGGCGGGGGGCCGATCTGGTGTCCAGACCAGGGCTCGGCGCCATGAGCAGACGTATTTTGTCGTATCTGCGTAGGAGGGTTAATGGGCAAAGTCGGCGAAATCGAAAATGCCTGTTTTCTCGTTTTTCGTGCACTACCGGCCACAGCCGTGCCTCAGGCATCCAAGTCGGGCAACATGTGGGCGGCACGGGACCGGAGGCTTGGCCCTAGGCCGAAGAAAGGGTATGCGAGGGTGCTCGCGAGCACCAAAGCCACTTGCGGCATTCGCCAGCAATCCCTGCTGCACACAAGAAGCGAGCGGTCCGGACGTCTGGCGGCCACTGAAGGCAATCGCACGGTGGGGGAGGCGGTCCGCGTGTTACGTACGTCTTTGAAAAGTGACACCGTCGCTAGTTTACCGGTCGCCGAGTGAATTCGGACCCGCTCGAGTCGCTGCGAGGAGCCCTCGGGAGTGCCTCGGCCGGCTCTAGCAGCGACGCACACACTCGCTACTGCTGACTAGTCGCGCCGAGGGCGGAGAGTGACTCACACGTAGCTTAATATGTCAGCGATGCAGCTCGCACAAGGGCGGCGGAGCCGAGGGCAGCGAGTGTGGTGGCGGCGACGGCTGGTGGCCGGCCCGACGGTGCCTCGGCGCGTAGCACACCTATAGGCGGTTTCGTCGGCGGTTCCGGTTCTGCGCGCGCTGGCGACGGCGAGAGGGACACCGGGTAGACCCGGCGCGACCGTGTTGGCCGAGGGCGGCGGCAGCGGGCGCGACAGAGCTGGTGCTGCCGCGAGCAAGACGGCAGCGACGCGCGGCAAGCCGCACGCTGCCATGGGCGAACCTAGCGCATGAGCCGTCGAATGGCCTACGACACGGGGCGAGGAGCGGCTCAGAGCTCGGCTGAGAGTGTCGCACAGCTGGCGCCAGCAGCAAGCAGCTCACCTACAGAGAAACGCGTTTGAGTGACACACTAGCGAGAGATCGTCGAAGCTCGCAGACGCTGTTCACCTCGAGATCACGGCGGATTGCTTCGCATAGTACCTATATTCTTTACTTTGGACTGTGAATGTGATGTTCCACACCTCATTCAAATGCTATTCACACCTCATTCAAATGCTCTTTTCATTCAAATGTTACTCCATCTACTGTGGAACATCACATTCACAGTCCAAAATCATGCATTAGAAGAGTATATAGGGGGTATATCTTTGATTAGAGATTCATTTAGGGCTGATGCAACCTCCGACTCCCTTCCCGTACATCCAACTGCTCCCGCCACACCCTTCTCGGACCATCGCGCTGCTCTTCGCGCGAGTAAATACATGATTTCGCGCCTTCTGGAACGCCTGCTGATACCGTCTTCCCGGCAGCCGGCAGCCTCGATACGGCCATCTCGACGACAGAAACGCGGCCGAGATCACTCGCAGACGAGTCGTGCGTGTGTGTGTCGTCGATCGCCGAGCTAATCGGTGGTCTCGCGCCGCTGTTGAAGCACACACTCTGCGCGAGCACCTCGCTTCATCATCCTCGCCGGCACAGGACGCGTCACTGGTACTGCTCGACGAGGCCGAGATAATGCGCGAGACGGGTCGGAGGCCGCTATCTCGCACCCAGCTGTGTCGCCATCGCGCTCAGTATGGCCGCCTGTGCACGAGTTGGTCGCGTGGCGGCTTTACGGATGAGTCGCGGCGATAATTTGTTGGTCAGCAGCTGCACGCCGCCACTCGTCCTCAGCATGCATTGGCATTGGCTGTCGCTGCCAGCCGTTCGGTGTGGTGGCATCGCGACTGTAGGAGTCGTGCCTGACCCGTGCCGTGCGCGTGCATTGCTCAGCGCTGCGTTGCTGGTCCGTCTCACCCCATGCCGGCATGCTCTGGCTGCGCTGGCTGCACTGTCTCGGCGTCGACACATGACAGAGACTGTGCCGCGATTGTGGCCGGGCTAAGGCGGCCAGCGGGCCAGCTCGTGACCGCTGTGAGCGGTCTGTGCAAGTGGAGCTCCGCAGTTTGGGGCTGGCTTGACTCACGGCGGCCAAGCATCGATCGGCGGCAGTGCCCGATCACTGTTTGTAACGCACCCATCGCCACTCCAGTCTATATATATGTTCTGAACTTGGCGCATTAACCCTCCTACGCAGATGGTTTTGCGTGATTTTGGCCCCCCCGCCCCTAACATTATGGCCGACAGAGCGGCTGGGAGAGGCTAATGTTAGGGGCGGGGGGCCGATCTGGTGTCCAGACCAGGGCTCGGCGCCATGAGCAGACGTATTTTGTCGTATCTGCGTAGGAGGGTTAAGAAAGCGCAGCAGGGCAAAATTCTAAGGCGATGCGCCCTCCCCCCTCGCTTTTGCAAAATCCTGCAAAGGTGGGGACGTGTCTGTCCTCGACCCAGCCCTAGCTTGGGATGTCCGTTGTATTTATTTATTTATTTATACCACGGCGACAGAAGAAGAAGTGTGTGTGTGTGTGTGTGTGTGTCCAGAGATAAAACTTTTCCATGCATGACCTAGTAGTGTCCCCAGCTATGGGCGTGTCCACGTTGGAGCCAGGTGTGGTGTGGGCGCGAGAATAGCTCCGCCGTTAATGGAGGCAACCGATGCGAGTCGACTGGTGTGTGTCGTCGTGGTTTCGTATCAAGAATACTCACTCACTCACACAAGAAGAAGAGACAAGGGAAAGAACGACGAGAAGGGGGCGACCGCGAGGTGGCATGAAGGTCGCAGCGAGAATCGGCGAGAGACTGCGAAGAGAGATAGGAAGAGGCGGACGCCCAAGGGTGGGCGACGGCTAGCGCATCACACCCCTCTCCTTAAAATCCCTGTGTGGTGGCGGCGTGCCGTCCTCCCATCCCTCCCTTGGGTTGTCCGTTTTCTTTCTTTCTTTAAGATACCACGGCGCCGGCCGCAGGCGCGGCCCCGAGAAAAGGCCAGACGCGAGTGTGGACGGGAGGCCCAGCTCAAAATTTCTCTTCGCCTGCGGCGCGCGCACTTGTCACTTTCCAAGTCTGCGGTGTTCTGAGTGGATGGAGTGAACGGAGGCGTGTGTGCGTCTTCCCGTCATCCAGACAGAGAGCCGACTCGGCGGCAGACTCTGGCATCGCCCTCGCGGGCGGACCGCAGCTTACCTCTTACCTAAAAATCTTTCGGGCCGGCGCTCTCTGGCTTGAGTGCCCCGGCCGGAGCTAAGAAACCACGGCGTGGGGTGGATGAGGGCTGTGGAAAGGCCTAGAAACGGCGGCGTGCCGCGAAATCCTGTTTTCTTAATGCCCGCAACCGCCAACCCACTGTACGCCTCACTGGGCCTTAGATCGCCCGACCGCGTCCCGGTGCTCTGTGGTCGGATTTGTGACTCCGCCGCACCGCGCCGCGGCCGGGGGCCCGCCGGAGGCCGAGGATGGCCGTGACGGACCGGGACGAGCTCTGGGAGGTTCAGTGTCAGTGTATATATATTGTAGAGACCAACCATGTGCACAATATCTCTCAGTCTAGCTAAGCCAGGGGAGGCGATGCCGGGGCCGTACAGCAGCTTGACGGTGCTTCGCCGGCGTGCGTCCCGGAGCGGTGCCGGACGGGGGGGCAGGGGAGGAAAACGGAGGGCAGCGCCGACGGCGCTCTGAGACTTTTAACTTCAAACAAAGACAGTGGCACGCGCCGCAGCGCGGTGCATGCCACTGTCAGGAGCGGATCCGTCAGTTAGTCGCGGACTCGGGGGCCCGGTGCTTCGACGCAGCACAGTGTGCTTCGTGGTAGCATGAACTCAGAACGGCCACCCAGAAGTTTTTCTTTCCTCGCGATGTCTCAACCGCCGCGCCGCCGCTCGCGCCGCCTCGCCACCGCCTCAGCAGCCGACCCCTCGCCAAGCACGCCGCCGCCCGCCCGCCTCCTCGACCTCCCTACGGAGCTCCTCGAGCGCGCCCTCTCTCGCTGCGACAGCCCCGTCGACATCGCTCGCGTCGCGGCCGTCTCGCTGCTCTTTCACTCGCTCGCAGAGCAGGGCATCCGCGTGCGGGCGCAAGAGCGCGGCTTCGAGCTGCCGGCGCAGCCCGAGGACGAGACCTGCGCCGTGCGGTGGCTGTGCTATTCGGCGCTGCTGTGCGAGTCCAACCCGCCGGCGAGGGCGGCAGCAGGCATATCGCACAGCCTTTTCATCGACGGCGAGGGGCGGCTGTCGTCGTGCGGCTCTTCGCCGGACTACAATCCAATCCCCGGGCTGCTTGGCCACGGCGAGGGCGTGACGCAGCTCAACACGCCGACCCGCCTCCCGTCGACGCTGGGTGACGAGCGCGCCGTGAGCGTGTCAGCTGGAAATGGCCACAGCGTCGCCCTCACCGCCGGCGGTGCCGTCTGGAGCTGGGGCAGTGGAGGCGGGGGCCGGCTGGGCCACGGCGACGAGCAGAACCAGCTGCTGCCGGCGAAGGTCGAGGCCTTTGCTGGCCAGCGCGTTGTTGCTGTGTCGGCTGGAGGCATGCACAGCATCGCCCTCACCGTTGATGGCAGCGTCTGGAGCTGGGGCTGGGGATACTCTGGCAGGCTGGGCCACGGCGACCAGCAGGACCGGCCGCTGCCGAAGAAGGTCGAGGCCTTGGCTGGCCGGTGCGTCGTCGCTGTGTCGGCTGGAGGCATGCACAGCCTCGCCATCACCGCCGATGGCGCCGTCTGGAGTTGGGGCTGGGGATACTGTGGCCGGTTGGGCCACGGCGACCGGCAGGACCAGCTGCTGCCGAAGAAGGTCGAGGCCTTTGCTGGCCGGCGCATCGTCGCTGTGACGGCTGGAGGGGCTCACAACCTCGCCATCACCACCGATGGCGCCGTTTGGAGCTGGGGCGGTGGAGGCTTTGGCCAGCTGGGCCACGGCGACCGGCAGGACCAGCTGCTGCCCAAGAAGATCGAGGCCTTTGCTGGCCGGCGCGTCGTCGCTGTCTCGGCTGGAGGGGCTCGAAACCTCGCCATCACCGCCGACGGCTCTCTCTGGAGCTGGGGCGATGGGAGGGATGGCAAGCTGGGCCACGGCGACGAGCAGCGCCAGCTGCTGCCCAAGAAGGTCGAGGCCTTGGCTGGCCAGCGCGTCGTTGCTGTGTCGGCTGGAAGCCGCCACAGCCTCGCTCGCGCCGCCGACAGCGCTGTCCTTACCTGGGGCGAGGGCGTTGATGGATGCCTAGGCCACGGAGATGACCTGTCGAACCAGCTACTGCCCAAGAAGGTCGAGGCGTGGGCGCCGGGGCTGTGAGAAGGGCGTACCTACCTCGGCTGCCACCTCAGCTCCGGTCGCGGGTCTCTGATTGAACTTGTAGGCTCCAAAAATCTCTCAAAAAGAATTCTCTAAAAATTAAAAAGAAGGCGCACCGACCTCCTCCCTTGTCTAGGGGGTACCCAGGCTCCGGGCCGGTGTGCGGGGAGCGAACCTTAACGACCGCCCAGAAGCTTTCTGAGCGAACCAATCGGGCCAGGATCATCAGCATATGTCCCCTGCACAACATCGTGGGCGTTTGAGCGGTATTTGAGGAGCACCGCGACTCTGAAGTTCGGCCGGGTGGTCTGCAGACCCCCCCCCCCCGGAGCAGCAGAGGCTCCGTGGGGTCGCAAAGTCGACGCTGGGAGTCGCACTCGTCAAACCGTCGCAGCACCACGCGGTCCGCACGTACCGCTCATATCCCCTCCACCGCTGAGAAGGCGCAGATCGACCGCCGGGCCGCGTAGTCGTCGTTAAGGAGCGGTTTTTGGAGCCGTACGAAGGGGTCCAAAACGGGCGAACATGCGATTTTTCGACGAGAGCAGGCGCACATCGCTTCCAGGGAGGGGGGCGCGCTTCTACTCACGGCCCCCCCCCCGGGAGGGGTGG